TCTGGAGAGTCCCGATTCTTAATTTCACTTTGAAACTAAATAAAATACCTTGTTATTGAAAAACAATCATTTTAGTATAAATTTGTATGATCAGTAATTTGGCTCTGTTGCTGCATATCTGCTTTGGCACACATCTCAAACTGAAACATTTCACATAGATACATCTTTGATCTGACACCAGACAACTTGAGTAATGACTCTTGTAGCGATGCCTAAACAATTTTTTTATGTTAAAAATTGAATTATAAAGGAGTATGGTAACCTTTTATGTTGACATTACACTTGGCGATGATTACATATTTAAGTTAAATGCGTTAAAAAATGCTGACCAGGAAAAATTTACCAAAAATTTCTTTCCATATGCTAAAAATAGATTTTGTTGATGATACTCTCAGACCCAAAGATTACAATTAGGGGTTTTAGAATTAAGAATAACTGATTCATTATTCACATAAACCCAGAACCAGCACCAGGGCTCGTATGGCCACACCGAGTCACAGAATTTAGGACCCACAGATGCGATAAGATATCTAGTGCCGGCCCTAAATAAGACTTAAGTATATGTGAGAATTTATTTATTCAGAACTCTGATAAGCCTTAAGCATGTGCAAGAAATAGACATAAGTATAATAAATAACTAATACAATTCAGGCTTAATTGTCTCAGTGCACGATAGAAGCAAGATAAAATTTGTCACTAGTCACCAAGCTCATGATGCACAGTCAAATATGTATAGTGAATGACAGCTAAATTTCATGCTAATAGCCGCTAATTAAAAAAATTTTCAGACATCACAAAACAAAGATGAAATTTTCCAGTTAATGGATTTTATAAAGAAATTTGGAGAAGCGGTAACAAATGAAGATGATATAAAAGAAGTTTTTCATTATGGTGACAATGCTTCTCAATCATCAATCAATTAATGAATGCCAAAATCAGTAGTATGACTCTAGATCCAGAAAATTGAAGAAAGTGACACAGAAGTTACTGAAAACGAGAAAATTTCGATTGATAAGTTAGTCGGAATTTTCAAAACAGCAGTTACCTGTCTACAGAATTAAAGAAAAAGTATTAGCACAAAAAATGAAGCAACACAAACAACTTACATTGAAAGAAATGTTTAATAAGGTAAACAAATAAATATTTAGCTTTTTTTTTTTTTTTTTTTTTTGTAAATTTTGGTACTTTTTAGATGATAAATACTTCATTACTTCATAAATCATGATTTCATATTTTTAATTTTATAATTTCTACATGCCATCTTACTGGATTTAAACTGATGATCTAACCTTTAAAAATCCCAAAACCGCCGAAGTCCTGACGAGTCCGGATTTTGGACTTTGTACTGTACATCAGAAAGTGTAATTAGTAAATAATAAATTGGTAGAATATATATACTCAACTTTGAAAATAATGAAATGTATAAAATTTCCCGGAGTATGGGTCTCCTCCCAAGGGAAGGGGTCTAATAGCCAAACTCCATATTTAAACTCAGGGAAACCTCCAAGTCCTGGTTGAATTTGATTCAAAATGAATAAAAATATTCAGACACAGACTAATGCACAAAATGAATTCATTGAAGAAGTTGGTACAATTATAAGTGAGCTATTGTTTGGAAGAAGCAAGTAGGGTTACAATACCCATAAGAAAGAACGTTTTTTAAAAATAAGAAGTGTTATTTAGGTATTCAATTTCGCAAGCATTGGAAATTGAGAATTTAAAGGGCAAATTAGAAATTATGGACAAACAACCACAATATGAGAATCAATTGCTGAAATTGTTAAAGAGCAAAAAATAACCGATAAGAAAATGCCTCAGAGAAAGACAAAATTAAGAAAAGAGGAGAACATGCTGTTTTCCAAATAATAAAGGAATATCTTTAGAAGAAGTAACAATGAAAGTGGTTGAAGCTGTTGACCCAGTAAAGTTAAAAATTGGTATTAGAAATGTTAGGAAAATAAATAATGGAGGTCAGCTGGTAGAATGTTTGAATAAAAATGAGACTGTAGAATTAGAAGATGAAATAAAAATAAATTCTCTGTTAAGAGAAGATATTCAAGTCAAAGCTCCGAAAAAGAAAAGGCCCAAAATAATATTATACAATACAGATGTAGATTTGAAGAAAGAAATCGTCACGGAAGCAATTAAGAATCAAAATCAAATATCTGAAAAAGGAGGAATTGAACTTGTTTGTTTTCAATTAAAGCTAAAGACTCTAAAGTTCACTGGGTTGCTAATATTCAAGCAGACAAATTTAGACTAATAATCAATCAAGGCAAAATTAATTTGAATAAAAGAATATCTTAATGTAGTGAAATGTTTTAAATGTCAAGAATTTGGACATTTCGATAAAAAGTGTATAAAGGAATTGGTTTCTGCAAGATGTTCATTGAAAGAACATAATTATTGGGCTTGTAAAAACAACCCTGAATGTATTACTTGCATTCAAGTGAATAAAAAATATATAAATTGGTTCTAGATGCTAAACAATCTAGATGAGCTAAGAATTGTTCTTGCTTAAAAAGACAAACTGACATTTTAATAAGAATTGACTATGGTTAACAGTCCTTAAAAGGTGTTAGTGTTGCAAAAGAAATAGTGGATTAAGATCCAAGTATGGAATAAGGAAAATAAAAGGACACAAGAAAGAATTGGAAGAAATTTAAATTAGATTAATTATTTAAAATTATGTGACTGTATCTCGATGAAATACAAAATATTACATTGTTAAATTTACAATCTGTGTTTATATGTATTAATGTCTAAATAAAGATTACTTTTGTCACTGTAAAATAATTAGTAATGTGTGGATTGATTGGTATAAGACTCAATAATCTATTATATAAGATTAAATAATAATTTATTATGTATTTGTAATACGGATTGTATTGCATTACAATTTATAAGAATCAATAATCTTTTATTTATAGTAAGATTAAATAATCTAAGTTGTTATATTAATTGAATTACATTATAAGTTTGTAAACTAACGTTTGATTTAGTTGGTGAATATATTGTTACGAATTTGGCATTTAAAAAGCTAATGTTAGTTCAATTATAAATTAAATGGTTTTATTTCCCACGTAGTGCAGCGCGTGATGAATATTAAAAGAAAGCTAAGCCGTAAAATTGAAAATACAAGAGCGCATGCATTAAACATTTAAAACTAGCTCTTTTTGATTTCGAGAAAGTACTAGAAAATTCTCGCACGCTATTTAAAATTTATAAAAGGGAAAACCTCTCATTTTCGTGGTAGTATGTTTTTTGTTGTTAGAAAACTGCTCTTGTTGATGTAGCGAATTCCCGAATTCTTAGCTGTTTTGAATTAAGTTCTTTGAAGTTTGAGTAGTTAGAAGTAAACTGGAGATATGTAAATGAAAGAATATCTACGAATTTAAGCATTTGTGATAATACTTTTTGTTCATTTTTCATTGGACTTGTGCATTCATTTCATAACGAACCCGTACGCACGCAACAATATACTTTTTATGTTATCATAAATCAAATACATGTTATTCTATAACTGCCAGCTGTACAATTTAATTTATAAAAATATTTATTGGTGGCCCCAAGCGGTCTTCCAGTCTATATAGTTCAAGTACAGCAAGGTGGCAATAGAATTAATAAGATAAAGTGGTTTCATAATCTGTGCATTTACTGAAAAGGTTAGGCAAGTGAACTTACCAGTCTTACTGTTGTGAATTAAAACATGCCTTAACTAAAAAACTGGAACAATGATTTAATTTATTAAATTATCCCATTTACTGACTGTAAGCAGAGCCAGCAATTTCAATAGTTATATCATTATTATTATTTACCCAAATATTTAAATTTTTCAACCTCCTCAAAAACATAAACATTTATTTTCAGCGGTATCAGGGTATGTCTTCTGTTTGTAGCTGTCATGAACTTAGTGTTTTCTTCACCTGACAGTCAAACCAAAGTGTCCTTTGCTCCTGACTCAGTTAAATCAAAGTATTTTGTGCTGTTGCCACAAAAGCCTTAACTATTATGTAATATCTTGTATTATGTACTATTATGTACCCATGATGAATGTCATCAACAAAGGCCAGCAAATCCATAGATTTTATGAATATAGTCTTTTGTGTATGCCCAAGTCTGTTATTGCTTTTTCAACGGGGATATTTCTTTCTTAAATCAAGGTAACAATTTATCACCCATCAAACCACTTCACTATGAAGTAAAAAAATTGAGGGAAGGGGTATTGAGATTATTCGAAGATTTTTTTAAACCTTTGAGAAAAAAATCTGCTCCTGCTATTTTACAGCACAAGCAAGACTTAACAAGATTTATTTCTGTTTAATTTATTGCTAGGACAAATATCTGAAGCATTAAAACATGTAAAAAAATTCACTGTCAAAGTATTTTCCTTCTTATTTGCAACAACTAATTTACAGTCAGAAACAAACAATAAAATACTTTCCAACATGATGTTCTTTAAGATAATACATATTAAGAAATTAAATCCAAGCCTTTCATTCATCCTTGTGGTCCAGTTATCAGCATATCCAGCTAAGAGGAGGTCTCATGCTCAATTACTAGCACAGCCAAAGTTACATTTTTCAAAATTCATGTTTGCTAGCAACACAAAGGCTTTAGAACACTATTTGTAAGACCTGCTTTCAAGGATGTATAAAACTAGAATGGCAGCAGATGTAATATTTCCATAGTTGCAAAATCTTTTCCAGTCTGAAAAAAAATTCATATCTGAGATTGATATCATAGAAGGCCCAACTATATTTCTATCATCCAATCATTTCAAACTGCTTTGCTCCTTAAAAAAAAATAATAAAATTATGGGTGCTCATTTTAAAACAGTTTTAAACACATAATTAGCTCTAACTATAACCAGTGGTCAGGTACACAGATGTAGCTGAGCAACAAAAAATGAAACACTACAGTTTTTCTAAAAAAGATGAAATAAAAGCTTAATAAAAAAAAAAGCACTTCACAACAAACTAATGCAATAAAATACAAACCTTCAACAACTTGATCATAAACACGTTCTTCAACAGTGAATATAACATCAAAAGTTTCATAGCAGCTCTGAAACCTTTCTGGATGAGATTTTATCCTCCTATTACGATCTAACATATGAAGCAAGCCATTTTGTGTGTATCTTTTGCACAAATTATGGATCAAAATGAAAATTTGAAATTCTTGAGACACAATATCAACAAAATAAAAATAACATTTTACTATAAATCAAGTTTGCTTAACAAAGAATCTATAATTGGGGGGGCACTTAATAGCATCATAGAGATTCTCAAATAATTAGCAGCAATTTAATACATATAATACTACTCAAAAGCAAGAAAATAAGAGGTATGAATGCAGAAAGACTACAGAAAAAGTGAAAGCTTCAATACTTTATAAAGAGTAAAATATTTATACAGTAAAATAATTTTAAATAGTAAAATTTAATTTTAAAACATAAATATAAAGTTTAATTTATTTTTTTAATAATGAACAATAAATACACTCATATTAAAATCTAAAAATGCAGTCCCTAAGTTTTAAATGCAGTTAGTACAGAAATATACATATATTATAATATGTGGTGGCCAAAATTGCAGACACTTTTGGAAATTTTTATGTTTTTAACCTTTGTATGCTTATAGAAAACGTTATGTTTCACAAAAAATGCAAACTTGTATATATCATTTTAAAGAGAACTTATTACTGAATTCAATACAAAAACATAATCAATTATTTGCAATACAAAAAAGTTAAATATAATTATCGATAATTAGATAGTGAGATTGCATGAATTATAGTAATTAGTAGGGTACCCTTTATTTTTTATACGTCACCGCGAGTTCATTGAGCTGTTTTAAGTCTTCTTTCATTATTACATTATGCTAGGAAACAATTATCCTCAATTAGTTCCCTTTTATTTGATGAGGCCTCATTGGGACAAGAGTTTTCAACGGAGCCACAATTTTCGAAGGATTGAGGTCAGACTGTTTCCTGGCCATGACAACATTTAATGCTCTTTTACGAAACCACTCTTTCGATATTTGGCCGTGTGGCAAGGAGCAAATCCTGCCTGAAAAATAAACGAAGCATTGTGGGAAAGAGATCTCTGATGGAAGGAGAAGTTTTGGTTCTAGAATAGTCAATGTATTTCTGGCATCAGTGCCTTATCGATGACATGAAGGCGACAATACCATTGCTGACATCATTACCAAATCATAACACTAATGGGTTCAATTTGCTTGAATGCAGTCAATGTAGCTCTTCTCTATTCTACGTCTTACAATTTCGCCATCGCTACCGATAACGATTCTTAGTTTCATCACTCCATATACTTGTGACCACTGATCATCTGTCCAATTAATGTGTTCCTTTGCCCACTGTAGTTGTTTTTTCATTGCTGAAAGTAAGATAAGGCTTTTTTGTGGATTCTACCTCATCCAACATCTGGTTAATCTCCCTCCTGATTGGTTCTTGAACTGACAGAAACACCAGCATCATTCAGATCACTTCTGATGGCCGCTGATGACATTTTTCTATCTTGAGACATAGTCTTTCTATTCTTCTGTCATCAAAGATTGGTGCACCTTTTTCAGCCTTTTCCTTCTTGTTTTTTTTATTGAATTTGTCTTCTGATATCGTAAACAAACTTTCGGACTCCAGATGTAGTCACTGAACCACCCACCTGTCTTGCAATTTCAGCATAGGAAAGCCACTTTTCGTAACACAATAATTACATCTCTTTCTAGGTGTCCAATCTATCTTTTATTTGATGTCATTGCTTCTTCACTAATAAAACTTTTTACAAAATTCCTACTTGTAATTGCAATGTATAAAAACAGGTCCTCCTTCTACAGAACAAAGCAAAATAATGATTGTTTAAGTGAAACATGATGTCAGCTTCTACTGGCAGTTACTACATTTGATTGGTTCTCAGAACAGAACAGTGATTGGCGGAAACTAGACATTACAAACCCCTTCATAACTGTGTTTTTATTTATTATTTAAGTACATATACTTTTTTTGTATTGCAAATAATGAATTTTGTGTTTGTATTGAATTCATAATAAATTCTCTTTAAAAGATATACAAGTTGCCTTTTGTGACTAACCATTTTATAAGCATACAAAGTTCAAAAACATAAAAATTTCCAAAAGTGTCCACAATTTTGGCCACTGTATATATTTAGATATTATCCTGTGGATTACAAAAGTTGACTACTGTCCAATCATAAAAGTTGGCAGGGATCTCATCAAAGTTACAATCATTTCTGGAGAATTTTCAAGGAACTGGCACCTTTTAATATAATAAACAATCAGAATTTGACTTCCTTCAATTTTTCGCTTTGTAAACATGCTTTTGTGGATTTCTACTATTTTGCTAGGCCCTCCGATCTTACTGAAAGCTTTGTTTAAAACGCTAAGAGTACAAACTTCCCACAAGTAATTGCTCCAATTTATTACTGTTTCGTCAGCCATACTCAGCTAACTATATTGTGACCATTAATACACACTTTTTTTATAGAGGTTCCCTTTGAAAATAATCCACTACTTAATGTTCTATAACAGACAGGTGCCAAATTTTAATCACTTTTTGTTTCAAAATGCATGAAAAAAATTAAACAATAAATTTGATTAATATCCTTATATTTATGAAAACAAAACATGACTAACTGAGAATCGATCAAAGTTACATCAAACAAAGGCGTAGATATTGAGCATGTGCATGTTGATATCTTATACTTATCCATAATTGGCACAAAATCTCACTGCTTGGTGGCAGTCTAATGGTTGACATGATAATAAGTATAAAAAAATATTTGAAATGTTACATAGAAAAATAATAGTTTTAATTCCTTTTCATGCAACTATTAAAAATAAGTTTCTTTTCTTTATGAAAGCATAATTTTTCTCATGCTATTGCCCAGTTTGCCTGTTTATGCTAATAAAAGGTTTTCCAGCTTATCATCATTTATACTGTATTTAAATTTAGCTCATGTTTTAATAACAGTACTAAAATTCTGTCCTGTTTGGCACTGCAATGGAGAATTGCAAAGATGGTCAACATTATTTCAAAGAGTTTGACTATACTTAAGTACTTTTTACCGATTAGACTCCACAGAATATTAATTACTGTTGATTCTATAAACTTTAATGAAGCATTCTATTTTATAAACTGCAAAACTATTACTGAAAATTTTCTGTTATAACATCAATATCCTTTTTGCTACTGCTAGAATTATTTCAATTCTTCTTTCCTTTCAGAACTGTTTTCAAGATAGCAGTAAATATCAACAACAAATTCATCTACATTTTAACAGTAAAAAGTTGAAATTATATTAAAAGCTTTAGATCTTTAATTTGAAAGCAAAGCACTGTAAAACTGGAAATCTATTTTAAAAATACCTCACATCAGAAGAAAGGAGCAGTTATTAAAGTAGAAACAATACCAACTATAGCACATAAAATTACTTCATTGTTTTTGTTGCAGTATTCTAAGAATTGTCAATTAACTTACACACTATTGAAGAAATTATTTTCTCATATTTATTTTTGAACAGTGAAAATACAACCGTTAGAAGAGAAGTTGAAGATCTGATGAAATTTTGATCACGTTATACTATCACCAAAAGTTTAGGCAACTTAAAAACGTGTTATATATCAAGAATATAGCTTAATCTCTAAATTGTAGTAAATTTGAAGGGGAATGGCTAATATTATATTCATAATATGAAGAAACTCATAAAAATAAAAAGCCAAAGAGTCCATTTTCTGGGGGATTGATAAAATGTTTTGAAAATTACCAAATATATCAATAAAAAAATTAATGCACCAAATGCAAGACATCTTCTTTTTCTCCAACCATTTGTTAAACAGATGTATATCTGCGAGAACTGAAACAACATCACATTTTTCGAGATACTGTTAGTAGCCATAATGAAATATTAACTACCTCCAGAATCCAGCAAAATTAAAACTTCAGTATCATTAAAAAATCTGATGTGTACACCACATGACTTCCTTGTACGGAATATTAAATTATACACATTTTTCTTGCATTCATTCAACTTATTGGATTGAATTAATCTACTTTGCGACAGCGCATAAACCACAATAGATAAATGCATTCTTTAAATTCTCTCTAGTATTTGTTTACCATAGCGACACTCGGTGCTAGATTCACTTAACAGTCAAAACGTAAAAACACCTTGTATTTTAGCGTAAGTATAAATGAAACATTCAATCGATTTCGAGGGCAGCTAAGGTCCCTCCTCATAGGAGAAAGAAATATTAGAAAGAAAAAATAAAGGAGAAGGAGTCTCGAAACCCGTGGTCCTTATCAGCACTGCAACTGGTTTAACTGGATTATAATCAGAGTTGCACTGGCAGCTACTTTACTGACCAGGCTATCTGATCAAGCATAAAGGACAAGAAAAATTAGCGAAGGTTAAAAAGGAGCGAGGGGCAAATGCACTTCACGCTCAAAATCTGAACTTCAATAATGAAAGCAACAACTGAACGGATTTTATACCTCTGGTAGTACAAAACGTGAGGAGGTAAGCCAATCTATCGGCAAAAATAACTGAAATTAAGATAGTAGAATTTTAATAGGATTGGAATTTTAATAGGATTGGACTTCAAATCATTAACTAACCTGCTACATTTTTGTGAATATGAAAAAGCCTCAAAGAAAAATCCAATTCACCTATGGAAGAAGAGCCTTTTGGGAATTCTTTTCTGGAGAATCCGTGCTATTTTAACTAATAAGGATTAAAATGGAAGCACGACAAGGTCATTAATATTATTTCTAACAGTGGAATGTCTTCTTTGATAGGAATCTGAAAATTTTTTAACGGCTTTATCAATAATGACGGGAGAAAATCCACGGTCAATCTCAACTGCTCTCAAATAATTAAGTTCATTGGTAAGCTAAAATCAGAGGAACAAACTTTAAGCGCCTGGAATACATAATAGTAAAAAAGAAGCCATTTTGCTTACGAGGGTGGATGACTTGGCATGGGGTGTAAACAAACTGCAAGGGTTTGCGGTACACAGTGGTGCTAAAATCAGTTTCATTACGGATTATAAGAATATCAAGGAAGGGGAGGGAATTGTTGGATACAATTTCAAGAGTGAATTGGATGGCTGGATCAATTAAATTCATAATAGATAGAATCTCAGATAAATCCTCTTTATAACCGTCAAAAAGTGTGAAAGTGTTGTCAACATACCGAATCCAAAGACGAAAAGATAGTTTATCAAATAATTTCATCTCAAAATAGTGCATATAAATGTCAGCAAGTACGTGACTGAGAGGATTACCCATAGCCAATCCTTCAACTTGACGAAAATGCATTTGGGAGAAAACAAAGTGGGTTTGACTCAGAGAAACTTTAGTAAGCAAAACCAACTCATAATTTCAGTATGTATTGAAGTGAAATTCCGAAGCCTAGTTTCAAGACAATTTAGTGCTCCTTCGACCGGAACATTAGTAAACATGATTTGACATCAAATAGAAACCATAATGGAACGAAGTGGAGAAATATTTTAAAGTTTATCAATGACTTCAACAGAATTTTTACAGTGTGAATATTGTTAGCAAGTAGAGGAGAAAATCTGGAAACTAAATATTTGGCCAAAGGATATGAAGCAGAGTACCTATGTTGGAAACAATTGGTCGAAAGGAATACCGGTTTGTGGACTTGGAAGAGCATAAACCTAGTAATAGGTGGAATAAGTCATTCTTCAACTGAGTTGGCAGAATGTGGAAGATTTAATAGCACATTTAACTTTGTGAGGTTCGAAGTTGAAGGATCTTTAGGGATCGAGCAGTATGGGCCTTCATTTATCAGTTTAGAGACTCAGTAATATATGTGGTTTGTCCATAACACGATCTGTCTGCCTATCAGCTTTAAAGATAATGATATTAGTATCAGAATGAATTTCACGTAAGTCTCATTTCCTTTTTGCTAAGATCGAACCCAAAGATTTGTTGTTAAATTAATTATATGAGTAATAAGGTGGGGATTGTATCCTTCTGTGTTTCCGAAATTTTGGAGAATTTAAAGGCTTTCTCTATAGGACGATGATTTGAGGAATTGAAGTTTAGAGTCTTTGAAAAGTTGAAATTATATTTCAATACTTTTAACTGATCCTCGAAGATTCCTATTGGAGATATTAACGATGGGGTTAACGTTTACAGTGGAAAGATCAGCTAGAAAGGTGGGACTATCCAACTGGTGTGTGAGTTAAAGAATTTAGAAATAACCACATTTTTATGCCGTTGACAAATGGTATAGACCAGGATGTATGTTCAAATGAGGAAAAATTTTCAGTTGAATTAGCAATTTTTAAATGGAGGTAACATAATTCAAATCCAATTTTAGATAAACGTTTGCGCGTGTCCCTTATAATATGACGAAGAAGTGCCAATTTGAATTTATGCAAATTTTTTAAAACGTGAACGGAAGCTTTAAGGCTACATTTCACATGTATAAATTGGGAATGAATGATTTTGATGTTTGCATTTAAGTAGAAACTGTGATGATTCAAGAATTTCGTACGCTTAAGGCGTAATTACAAAATCGGGACCGTCAGTGGACGTATGTGAAAAGGGTAAAGCAAGAAACAAGTGAACAAAGAGGAAATATAATACGAAAGTCCAAACAAGTAATTTCTTATAACATAAAATACACCAATAAATAATGAAGACAATTTTCATCAAACATATGACAAAAAACATTCCAAAAGGAGAGAAAACATCAATACTGAAAACCAATAGCCACGTGGAAAGAAGCAACGAAAGTCAAAATCGTGCACGTGGTAGTAAACATTAAAAGTAGAATTTCCTCGAAAATGCCGGTTGATAGCCACAAACCAAATTCGAAAAACTAATAGCCACGTGGAAAGAAAGAAATAAAATGGTGCACGTGGTAAAACAATAAACAGTAAAATATTCTCGAAAATGCCGGTTGATAGCACAAACTAGACTAGAAGAGAAACACGCTAATGTGACAATCAAAATCGTAAAAACAACCTTGTATTTAGTATAACGTAAGTATAACGAAACACTCAATCGATTTCGAGGGCAGCTAAAAGTCCCTCCTCATCAGGAGAAAGAAATATCAAGAGAGAAAAAATAAAGGAGAAGGAGTCTCAGAAACCCGTGGTCCTTATCAGCACTGCACGTGGTTATAACTGGATTATTAATCGAGGTGCATGGTCGCCACTTTTACTGAGCCAGGCTATCTGATCAAGCATTAAAGGACAAGAAAATTAGCGAAGTTAAAATAGGGAGGAGGGGCAAATGCATAATCCAGTTATAACCACGTGCAGGCTGATAAGGAACACGTGTCTGAGCTCCTTCTCCTTTATTTTTTTTCTTTCGATATTTCTTTCTCCTGAGAGGAGGGACCTTTAGCTGCCCCGAATCGAATGAGGGGCTTATACTACGCTAAATACAAGGTTGGTTTACGATTTTATTGTCACATTAGCGTGTTCTCTAGTCACTAACAGTATTATATTTCGTCATATTATAACTCAAAATGCACAAAAATTTATATCATTTAAAGAATTAGAATTATCTAATCGTTGCCACATGTCTATTTAAATACTATAATAAAGCTAGAACGATGTATAAAAGAAATTAAGCAAACAGAAACAGACAGACGTATTTTTTTTTCTCATTCAATTAATTCAGTTCTCACTTTGCGAGAAGGCAAAAATACATAAAAACTCAAAACATCTATATTAAAAATTACGAAGTAAATCTTAAACACTTATTTCCTCGAAAAAATTCCAGAAAGGCTTAAGCATGATTTAATTGGCAATAATAAATGAAGGCATTATCTTTTTTGTTGTGAAGCTAAGTTTCTCTAGATTAGGCAACAAATCCACTATCTGCTGTTTTCAAATGTAAACAATCAATGGCCACCATATAAAAAGGCTTAACGGCACTTAAACAACTTTAAAATTATTGATAATTCTAAAAATATTGCATACAGATTTACTAAAGGCATAAAAACCTTAACTGGAAGATAAAAACAACATATTCAATCATTTTTACAAACATATAAGTTTGAGTAAGCTGAGATCAGCCGATTGCAACCAAAATATGAGGTGCACATCTACATGTTATAGCAGTCCTATATACAAAATTTCAACGTTCTGAGGCTACTCGTTTTTGAGTTATGCGAAGATACGTACATACGTTACGTTAGTACAGACGCCACGAAAAATTCCCTTCAGAATTAATTTTAAAGCAGTTTTATAATTTTTTTGGAGGGAAAGAGTCTTTTATCCTGTCCTTACGTACAGATATCACGCAAAAAAAATTGTTAAATTGCATTCGATAGCGGTCAAAATGGATATTTTCGTTGAAATATGCTGCCTGAAACTTTTCGCGATTACAATACTTCCTTTTTACTTCGTACAAGGAAGTAAAAAGGGAGGAACTACATAAAAAGAAAAAAATTATTTTTTCCAAAAAATAAATAAGAATTTCCAGTTTTTTAAAATCAAGAACAAAAATGCAAAAACAAAATTAACTGTATAATTTGCCTTAAAAAGGATACAAAGCTTTATCTTTAGCTAGCAAATCTTGATACATTTGTTCATATGAGACACCAAAATCATAAACATTAGGTTTATCTGGAGCAGGGCCAGGTAATTTAACTTGATTTCCAGAACCAAATGAACGAACTTTGAATCCTTTTTTACTGAAAAATATAAAAATTATCACATGAAAGATCATTGAATATAATTATTTTCATTTCAATAATCAAGAAAAATCATAAACAAAATAAGTTAAATAAAGCAAAATCAAGTTAACTTATAAAATTTTTAATAGGTTCGTAATGTAATTTCCTAGAAAACAGTGTTAATCATTTTAATCAAATGATCAAATTAATGATATAAATCATGATTTTAATCAGCAGTTTTTTTTAATAAGAGCTCCATATGTTTTATCATAATTAAAATTTTTGCAAAATTTACACAGATATTTTCAAGTGCAAATTTTCTACCTATCTCATTTCTCTATGCCCATTTTAATTAAATTTTAGGTTTAAGGAAAGGTTCTAAAACAAGAACTGCATCTTTTGTTACCTAAATCAAGGTAAAATAAAATTTAATATTAAATTTGTAGCTAGCCTTTTAAACATGCTCATCAAGAACAATTTTATATATTTTAATATAAAGATATAGAAGATTTTTTTCCTTTTATTTAGCTAATTAAAAAAGTAAAGAAATGTTTTTCAGCTGAAGAAGTGTCACTCTAACAGGTTTGTCTCTAGCCTCTAGTTTTTGTTTCTGTTAAATATTCTATTCAATTTAGCAGCAGATGTTGTTGTACAAACACTGTGTATAGTTATTTCTATTAAACTATTGTATATGGAAATATTTTTTGGCAAAATGCAGAAAAATTAAAAACAGTGAAGTACAAGTTGCTTAATAAAATCACTTCTGTTCTTATGCTTTTTAAGTGACCGAGTTTAACAGATCGTGATTTGTGTGCTGCAAATCATGATACCAATTTTAAACATATCCAGCAAAATAACAACTAATTCAATAATTAATCCCAAAATAATAATTAAAGCTACACCATTTATGCAATTTTTAAATTTATTTTTTTTTTAATTTTTTATTATTACTTCTTGATGAAATTTATTTTTTGAATTTTTTATTATTACTTCTCAATGAAATTTCATCTTTTACAAACAATTGTTCTATCCATATTTGCTTCGTATTGTTCATTCTCTCACAATACTGATGGTATCATTTTCGATCAGTAACTTTCTATCGCGAGCAACTCAACGATTGTATAAATGTAATTTCTTTACAGGTCAAATTTTTACGGTTTGGCAAGTAAAATGCACCATGACTTTGCATTAAGGTGGATTACCTGTTTTATAATAAATTAATAAGGTGGATTGCCTGTTTTACAGTGAATTAATTGGGTGGATTGCCCGTATTACTTAATTATAATTTCTCTTTACATTTATTTTAATGGAGTACCGACTGAAGGAACAAAATTCAGGTAGAGTCTCGTAACACTTTCAGTTCAAGAGCTTTTCTTAAAATTTGGCGAGCTTATCTAGATTTGATTGATGTCTGCATATCATGACTTTTGATATCAGTTTTTGCAGTTCTTTCAACACTTTCTGTAATACTATATCCCGGTTTAAAGTTAACTTAATGTTAGCAGAGGTACGAGTGATGCATATTTATCTATTAATTAGTTAACCCATTTTTTCCCTTTTTGTTGGCTGTGGCATTTACAAAAGAAAAAAAAAACTGAAAGGTTTTAGATTTTAAATTATGTCTAAAGGAGCTTTTTAAACATTTTGTGCGTTACCAAGATTTTATTTTCCCCGTACAGCGCTGCCATTGCTAGTTTTTAAATCGTTGAGTTTGTTAATCAAAAATTCGTTAAAAAGTTTTACAAAATATGAAATTGATAATAAAACAAATTCCTAATTTGGGCTTTCAGATGCCCATATTTGCAGTAGGATTACGCCATTAAAAACTGGATGGCTCTAGATACCACTTTTGTATCACAATGCGAGAAACATACATAACTTTACGCAGATTCTTTATTATTTAATTTCTTCAAATATAATGCAGGACTCTTAACATTTTGTGGCAACAATTTGAAAAGTGATATGTGGTTTATAGTGATTCAATGCAAAATCGCAAAACGAAAACAATAGTCTTTCACGGACAGATCCCTTTTGTAATAAAAAAAGCACTACTTCTCACCCATCAGTTCAGTACTTATGGTATATTCATGACTCCTTTTAAATATCAAAGTTTTTTTTGCTTTTAACCATTGCTGTCTTTTTAATTGTTAAGTTCCTGTTGCATATTAATAACACAGTAGCTCGTTCCTTGAATTCCTTAAACCGGCTGCTGATTCACTTTAAGTATTAATGCATGTTGTATTGCTGCAATATGTTGATCTGTCTCTTTATCATGTAGTTTCCAATGAAAAAAGTTGGATTCCTCTCTTTCCACTTGTAAGCCAGTTGATACAAAATTATTTCCTATCATTTTAGTAAATTCCAAAGCTCATATAGTGAAAAGATCTCTAGAAATAGGAACACTTTTTTTTAAAGTTTCACAGCTTGAAACCACTCTAGAAAAGAAATTTTAACATCTTTCCATTTTCCATCTTTTTTTTTTTTTTTTTTTTTAATCTTCCTCGAGACATTGTTCCTTTATGCATTTTAATTAGTTCTTTGTTGCTTTTCTATGAATTATTAAGTTACATTTTTTGAGAATTTTCTGTGAACATATTGTGACTTTTCCTAATGGAAGATCTTAAATGTGAAAACCTTAAAAGATGTATTGCAAAAGCTGCACTTTCACCTCCTATTAGCTGGTATTCGAAAACGTACACTCGCCCATTTACAGTGCCTTTTGGGGATTGTTTTTCTTGACCTTAAAATAAGAAAATTCTGCTCCTCTAATGCCCAATACGAATAATTAGCTTTGAAAACAAGTCTCAGAGGACAGGGATTAAGGAGTTAAAAATTCTTGGTTAAACTTATTTAATTTAAGCACTAATACTTGAATGATAAATGTCATGGTCCACCACAAATTAAATGGATAAACAATTACAGCTTTAGTAGGTATAAGTAGGATATTCAGGCCCTGAATTATCAGTCTTTTGGTAGTTCTAAAAGTGGTGCAAATGTGTTTAATAAATGGCAGATTTCTATTGAATGGTATACATTTACAGTTGTGGTTCTCATGAATTTGAATGTAATAAGCCGCTGATTTTATTAACTAGTGAGTTTAATAAGCGGTGGGCCCTGCACTTAATGGGAAAAAAATTAAAGAATATGGTGAGAGACTGGTGTCGGAATCAGAAAAAACACTTTCAACACATTGTGAACTTACAAACCTATAAATAAGTTGGTTGCTGATGCTTTAAATTACGTTTTAACAAGAACTTCAGAAGAAGCCATCAATAACTAGCCCAACGCTAAAAGAAAGAAATGCACTTATTTCTAAATTATGAAAAAAAAAATGCTTTTTCATTAAATAATGGACTGAAGCACTGCTCGAAAAGGAACCATGGAGTTCATTTTATAGATATCTCTAGTAAAAAAAAAAAAAAAAAATATTGACAGATCTAATAGCAGCACAGGAGCTTTCTAAAAAACTTCAAAATTACATTAACTGAAAAAACTTTTTTTCCATAGCCAATCTACAATACTAACCTCTCTTTCATCAAGTTTACTCATGCTTGTTTAGTACTATTATATTGAAAATCTAGATATAGACTAATAATTATCAAAGCAAAAGCAAATCAGATGGTATGTTTATACTATTAGATAAAATGCATACAAAAGCAGGCGTTACATACAAAATTAAAGATGTGACATAAAATACTATAACATTTATGGTCTATATTCATTCCACACCCGAAGAAAGATTAACAAAGAGGGGGGGGAATACACAGTCTTTCTACTTCTGGTATGTATAGCAACTGCTCCTTTTGTTAAAATTAAGGTTTATTTTAACACTGAAACGATTTTTGATTACATGAACTATGGATCAAGGTTGCATTGCTGCATTTAACATTCCAGCAAGCACGCTTGGCAATTTTACATGAGCACGCGTGCATCATATATTTTTACGACATCTGTTATTTTACCATTTTTGGCATGAAAAACGGCAGAAATGAGTGAATATTGATAATAAATTTGTTAAGAAATAAAATATTAATCTTATTATTGCAAAATATAAATGATATCATATTCAAATAAAAGTAAATTATTTTTAAGTTCTTATGTTAGTGAGATGGAAATGCAGTGATGTATTTCCTTATAGAAAAGTTTAAATTTATTATTTAATAATTATATTTTAACACTGAAGCTAATTTTAATATTCACCAAAGACAAGTATAGACAATAAAAAAGGAAAACACCTTGGTAGGGGGAAAAAAAGTAAGTTTAGCATTAGTTACTTCTGCAAGGATATTTACTTCTTACTGGTTACAAAAACGCACTTTAATGTTTTTATTTATTTCTAAAAAAACAGAAATAAAAGAAAATAAGGAATGGAAATCGTTACTGTTCTACTATCCAAAGGTTTCCTCATCAGATAATTCTTGAAGAATCCGAGCAAAATCAGCTGGTTGCACATATTTTTTTGCCATGAAAACTGATATAGAATTTAGAGAACCAAATTTATTCAAATTAAAATAATACACGGCAATTAATAACACAAAATGATAAAATATTTGAGAAAAAAATATTTTCTGAATTTTAAAACACGACCATGCGCGTGTTGTAAATTTTATGAAAAAGCTGCCACATAGCACAAAAGCCCAGTTAAAAAAAAAAAAGACAAATGACTTCCTGTTGGCACATTCCATGATGTGGGGAAGGGTAGAAAGGAGGAATACAAATGACTTTCAGACGTCTCAGCTTCGATATGCGAAAAATGTGCAATAAAAACTGAATTTGTCGTAAATTTTTCACACACGCGCATGTGGAAAGTTAAGAAAAATTATATGTGTTGCAGTTACTCAGGTTATTGATGTAACTGATACATACTGTCAGCGTTTGCTGATTGATTCTTGGAAATAATATGACATTCTGAACTGCATTAAAATTCTTGCTATTGCTTGGGAAAGTATTACTGTTACATGCATGACTGGAATTTGGAAAAAGTGTGTTCAACTATTTCTAGTCTCCAAACAATTCAT